ACACAGAGAGGAAAGATGACATGAAGAGACACAGAGACTATCAGGTACAAACCAAGGAACCTGGGGGCCAGAAGGAGTTAGCGAAGAGGACTGACACTCCAAGACTAACACTACTGACACCTTGATTTTACACTTCTAGCCTCTAGAACTGGGAAAGTAAATTCCTGCTGTTTAAACTATCCAGTTTGTGGTACTTTGTCATGAGAACCCCAGCAAACTGATACAATGCATGGGCAGAAGAACAAACTGATCCCAGTGGTAGGTCGGGCATGAACTCTGCCTCTTTGGTTCATTTTGTATCTTTAGCATTTATCACAGAGTCTGGAAAAAAGCTATGGATGAGTGGGTGAGTGAGTGAGTGAGTGACTGCAAGCAGGAATTAATGGAAAAATGAATAAACCTAGTTGAGAGGGAGTTCAACTGGAAATTTAGAGAGAACAGAGAAAATGGCAAGATAAAAAGATACCAAACATGGTACTGAATTAGGAGAAAAATCAAAATACATTCAGTAAGTCTCAGAAGAGACTAATAAAGATTAAGAGCTGTAAAGTGTGGAGTCTAACATTCTAATTTTAGTCAGGCTGTTGGTTTATTATTAAGGGACTATATGAAGTCACTAGCCTACTCTGGACTTTGTTCCTTATCTTTAAGGTGTCTGGGTTGTCTAATAGCTAAATAACATTCAACTTCTGTTCAGTGTTTCAGATGTCTATATAAAAATAAGCAAAGTGGAACTGAAACTTTAAGGAAAATGAGGTATCAGTTTCGATTATCAACAGGACTTGCTAGAATGGGTCAAGTTTGTGGTGATGAAAAGGTAAGCAGCCAGAGTTTTTTAATTTATGTCTTATTCTATTGCTTCTATGCTTATATTCCTACCTTTGACACATGTAGTCAATAAATGCTTAGGGGCTGTGCTAGTGCCAGGGGCTGTTCTAGGCACCTGGAACTATAGCAGCAAACAAAGAAAAATCCCTGCTTTTGCAGAGGTTATATTCTATCAGAGAAGAAAGATGCTACTTGATTAAGTATATATTAGTAAGTAATGTGTATAAATTTAGAGAGCACAAGGATGGGGATTCATGGTGACAGGGAGGCTTTATTTATTTATTTAGAGAATAAGATAAGCAGAACATCTCTGTGGAAGTAAAAATTAAGTGGAAAGCCATGCCCAGGAGTGAGCCAGGAAAAGGTCTGGGGGGAGAGAAATCCAATGTGGGTTCTGGGTGGAGATGAGGTTGGTACATCCAAAGAATGGCAAGGTCAGTGGCTGGAAGAGAACAAAGCAGGTACAGGGACATGTGGGGAGTGACCAGCGAGACTGAGACAGGCAGAACTAGATCATATGTGTCTTTGTTAAGAAATCTTAATCTGATGCGAATCTCCTGGAGAGTTTAAACTGGAAATTTTGTGACATAATCTGACCTACAATTTAGAAAATCACCCTAGGTACAATTTAGAACATTAACTGCAAGGAGAACAAGAGTGGAGGGAGTCCAGAGGTTAGTGTACAGTGTAAATAAAAATGTAAGGTGATTTTGGTATGAACCCCCCTTAGCCAAGGGAAGTAAATCCGAAAGTCTAACCTGGCAAATTAGACCCCCTGGGGCCTGTTACTTAGTTACTGTCCCAGTTTCAGTTACAGTAAAACTACTACCACATAGTCTCATACAGTGTTAACCTATGTTTCATGCTGTATTTTAAGTGTTACTATGTTGGCTCAATGGCTACTGAAAGGTATGATTTTTTTCCTACTTTATTGGTCTGAGAAAATTAACAATATTCAAGTTACTGAGCTAAATTTCTTTAACTCCAAGAACAGATCCATAGACCAATGAAACAGGCTAGAGAGTCCAGATACAAACCCAAGCATATATGGTCAATTAATATATGATAAAGGAGCCATGTACATACAATGGGGAAATGACAGCCTCTTCAACAGCTGGTGTTGGCAAAACTGGACAGCTACATGTTAGAGAATGAAACTGGATCATTGTCTAACTCCGTACACAAAAGTAAACTCAAAACCTGAATGTAATTCATGGAACCATAAAACTCTTAGAAAAAAAATATTGGCAAAAATCTCTTAGACATAAACATGAGCAACTTCTTCATGAACATATCTCCCCAGGCAAGGGAAACAAAAGGAAATGAACAAGTGGGACTATATCAAACTAAAAAGCTTCTGTACTGCAAAGGATACCATCAGTAGAACAAAAAGACATCCTACAGTATGGGAGAATATATTCATAAATGAAAGATCCGATAAAGGTTGATGTCCAAAATATATAAAGAGCTCACACACCTCAACAGACAAAAAGCAAATAATCCAATAAAAAAATGGGCACAGGATCTGAACAGACACTTCTCCAAAGAAGAAATTCAGATGGCCAACAGGCACATGAAAATATGCTCCACATCGCTAATCATCAGGGAAATGCAAATTAAAACCACAATGAGATATCTTACACCAGCTAGGATAGCCAACATCCAAAATACAAACAACAACAAATGTTGGCGAGGTTGTGGAGAAAGGGGAACCCTCCTACATTGCTGGTGGGAATGTAAACTAGTTCAACCATTGTGGAAAGCAGTATGGAGGTTCCTCAAAAAACTAAAAATAGAAATACTATTTCACCCAGGAATTCCACTCTTAGGAATTTACACTAAGAATGCAGCAGTCCAGTTTGAAAAAGACATATGCACTCATGTTTATCGCAGCACTATTTACAATAGCCAAGAAATGAAAGCAACCTAAGTGTCCATCAGTAGATGAATGGATAAAGAAGATGTGGTACATATATATAATGGAATAGTATTCAGCCTTAAGAAGAAAACAAATCCTACCATTTGCAACAACATGGATGGAGCTAGAGGGTATCATGCTCAGTGAAATAAGCCAGGTGGAGAAAGACAAGTATCAAAAGATTTCACTAATCTGTGGAGTATAAGAACAAAGAAAACACTGAAGGAACAAAATAGCAGCAGAATCACAGAACCCAAGAATGGACTAACAGTTACCAAAGGGAAAGGGACTGGGGAAGATGGGTGGGAAGGGAGGGATAAGTGGGAAAATGGGGCATTACGATTAGCACACATACTGTAGTGGGGTGGGGACATAGGGAAGGCAGTATATTCAGAGAAGACAAGTAAGGATTCTATAACATCTTACTATGCTGATGGACAGTGGCTATAATTGGGTATGTGGGGGGGACTTGAGAAAAAGGGGAGTCTGGTAACCATAATGCTGCTCAAGTAATTGTACATTAATGATATCAAAAAAAAATTTTCTTTAACTCATATCCCTATGAATACCATTTAGAAGATTATTCTTCTCAGTAAAAGCAATACTTAGTAATCATGCTTATAATTAAGAAATTGATTTTAGTTTAAAATGGACTGACAGCATGTCTAGAACTCTACAAAGAAACAAATTATAAAATTTAGATCTCAGACTCAAAGTATTAAAGTGATAAAAACACTGTCTGTGTATAAAATGGCCTGCCTTGTGCATGCAGTAAACAGTATCTTTTAGCTTGTGTTCCACGATTATTCCATATTAAAGCATGAACTGAGTTTGACAGTTAGAGGAACTACTGAGTTTTGTTCCAAGGTTCAATACACTTAAGATTTTTCAAGCTTAGAGTATTATTTAGTAGTTTTCCAATTTTTATTGTGATTATGATTAATCGATATCCTGATACACATAGTAATACAACCCATTCAACCTACTGTACCTTTCATTTCATACTTCCAGATCAGAAGTGAATACTGTAATAATTCTTTGTAAGTTGAATGATATCTCAAGGCACCAGTGGTTCCCTGACTTAACAGTTATGATGTCTCCCACATGAAGACAGTTTTACTTTTAGGATATACTGCTTGAGAAAGTACAAAACAAAATGCCACTATTAAAGTAGAAAACTTCGACATGAATTTGTAATTTTTTAATAGGACTATTGATATGCCTATATACCTATAAATAGATTTACAGTCATGTGTAATGGCATATTTTTTAGCTCACAGCCAACATTTAATATATTTGAGTCAACAGAAATATAGCAACATCTCAGAAAATCCTATTTGGAAGCTTTAGGGTTTGAAGGCCTAAAGTTCAGAAACCAATGCATTAGAAGAACTTATCATTTGAACACACATTTTCTTTCAAATTGAATCACCCTATTTATCAATAACCTTCTAAAAAGTAACAGTAATTTTCTTAAGTAGGATACACCTGTTTTTATAGCTGTTATTAAAATTTTTTATTCTCAGCTGTAGAGTTCTTCACAAATGTTCTGTGTAACATTTCTGTATATGTTCTTTCCCCTCTGAAGCATTCATATTTTAAAATAGTTACTATTATTCAGTGAAACATAAAAATTATTTTTGCTTCCATAAGCACTAGGACTCAGGCTTACTTGAGGTTAAATTAGGAAGGTTGCCAGAAACAAAATAAGCTTCGATGACTTAGAAAGATGATATGATACTTTCATGTGCCTGCTCTGGAAATGCTCTCTTTTGAGCAGTAAATGTTCTAAGCCCTCTTATAAAAACATTCTGGCTGGAAGAAGAAGAGACTAATTACATGATGTCCAAGAACTCTCCCACTAAAGACATCCAGTATCCATGGCTCTAAATTCATGGTCATCCTTGGCCTTATCTCTCCATGTTAGATGTTCATTATATTCACTGAGATTATAGGGTACAATTGACACTTGGGAGATTTCAAGATTAGAATAAAACTTTCATTCTCATTAGGTCACAAAATAATAAACTTCTTTCTCATTTTGCCTCAGATAATATGTTTTCTTTTTTTGGTATTTTTAAATTGATGTATGCTTTTCTATTTCTTCCCCCAAATTTCAAATAAAATAAGTCCTTACTGAAATCCAATATTAGGTTTCTAAGGTACCAGGAGCCTTATTGCCTCCTGAAGTCCGCAAACATGTGGTTAACATCAACTCATCCATTGTCTTCTCACTGAAAAGAATCACTCTTACCGTGTAGCCCTCGGTATACTGAAAAGGACCCCTGGAACTTTCATCTGCTGTTGGACTCAGAGGCTTGGGGTCAGACATGGACCGCTGCATCATCTTGGCTGTCTTAGGACTTGCTGGGGGAACTTTGGCCATGTCTGGATGCAGTACTTTCTGTGGACTTACATCATCAGGGAGGGGTTTTTCATAAGGTACAAAGGCTGATTCTAAGGCTTTGCCTGGTGAAAGTGGTGAGATGGGTGAATAAAGGACTTTTGGAGATTTGGGTGGGGATGGAGCCAGCTGTAATGTGGAATCTGCCCGAAGGTGAGATGAATAACCGATCTCTAAAGGTGTTGGGCGTTTCTTGTCTTTGGGTGGAGATGTGGCACTCAGATATTGAGGACTTTGTGTGTCTGAATCTGCTTCTGTTTGACATCCTAAACTGCCCCCTTTGTAAGTCTTTTCAGGAGCTGAAATGTGTTTAATTATTTCTACCTTGGCATCCACACGTGCTCGTATTGAAGGTGTTCTTATGGTTCCAACTGGTTCGGTTTGCACAGATATCTCTGCTACTGTTTGAACTGCTACACTGGAGACCTTGGAAGGGGGTTTGGTCTTGTCAGCCTCTGTACTGCTGTCACCGTATTTCCCTACACGAGCTTTTCTCTTTGATCTAGCAGGCATATCCCACTCATCCTGATCTTCATCGTCAGTTTGGACACTTGTATCAACACTCTTTTTAGTTCTCCTTCTCCTACTCACATAGTTCCGATCTGCCGCATCTTCGTCGTCAGTTTGTACACCACTGTCCACTATCTTCTTAAAGCAGCGGGGATCCTCTGCTGTGGTTTCCCCTCGCTCATCGTACTGTCCACGGACTTTAGCTCCAGAGCTTCTCTTTTTGGGTTGGTTTTCATCTTTTACAACAACGTCTGTTAGAGGTATTTCTGAAACAGTACTCAGGATGCCAGGTGGGGCGATGTATTGTGTAACCCCATCAGACTGAACTGTGTACCACCCTTGGCTCTGTGGTATTTCAATCGCCACAACAGCTGAGGCTGTCGTGGTTGTATCTTCAGCCGCCCAAAACTGACCACCCTCTGGGGCAGCATACTGGCCTTCCAAAACTGCCTGCTCTGCAGTGGTCTGTGGAGAAGCAGTCCCAGAAGGGTCATAGTTAAACTGGTAGATCTGGCGAATCTTCTGCTCCTCTAGCTGCTGCTGAAGCTGTTGCTGTAGCTGTTGGATCTGCTCGAGCTGTAACTGCTGCTGAGCTAAGGTCTCCTGCCTCATCATGAACTGTGCTTGACGCTCTTCTTCTTGCTGATAGAGAAGGTGCTGCTTCATAGACTGAAGCTCCTCCAGCTTTTTTTGAACTATGATCTTTTCTTGTTCTCGGAACCTTTGTATTTCCTGACGTTCCCACTCCAATTCCTCAGCAAAACGCTGTTGCTTAATTTTCTCCAGTTCCAAGAGCTCACGCTCCAAGTCTAGCTGCTGCTGTTGTTTATCTTCTTCAGGGACAATTAAAATAGTACTTTCATCTCCCACCACTTCAGAAAACACTTCAGACGCTGTGGTTAAAGTGGGAAGTGAGTCTATTGTCTCTGCAGTAAGAGTTTCCATAGCAATAGTTTGCAAACTGGCATTGATATCAATACCAGATACTGCAACGTCTGTTTCTGATGCACCTGTTGCTAGGAAATATGATCTAGGCATTGGCTGGTTCTGGTGCAGGGCGGAGAGTGAAGTCACTGCATCAGCTGGGTGCACGCCAGACAAATCCCTCACTGTGGTGCTGAAAATGGAGCCAGGTTGTGTGGTGATAGCAAATGTAGAGGGAACTGGAGTTGCTACTGAAGAATAGACAACACCATTAGATGACCTCAAAACACTCCCCACACCATACTGGGGACCTGGAGGTGGAGTCTTTCTTGCTGTGGAATACTGTGGAGTACCAACCCCAACTTCTGAAATGACTTGTTGTGTTTCTGGATAGGAACCTGTAGTCTTGCTTGAATAATCCATTACCTCACCTGAAATATAGGGTAGAGTTATAGTCCAGTTCCCAGAGCGAATGAGGCTTGAGTTTGAAAGCCCTCGCAATCTTGATGAACATAATGAATGGGACTGCATGCAAATCCACAGGTTAACCTAATTAGATGCGACAAAAGCAATGTTGAACATGCAGGCACATGCAGGCGACTCTGGGCAGAACAAATTAAAAAAATTAAGAAACAAAAGTGCACATGTATACCAAAATATGTTGCCAAGACCTCCAAAGAAAGAAAAAGTAACAAAACTGGAAAAGGGACCACATTTTCATCCTGAAATGAGATGAGGGACACCATAATGATGTTTCAAGGAAAGGTCTGTTGCCACATCATACTGACCTGTAGTAATTCTCCCTGAAGTTAGATCTACTGCTGCATCAGTTCCTCCAGAATAATCAAAAGCATTCTTACTTTTATAGAAAAAATGTCCAGCTTCTGCTAAATTAGTGTCTGACATGGAAGGTTTCATTCCCCCAATCCCTCTATAACCATATGGCCCTGATCGATCATATTGATAGTGGTCATCCCTATAACCAAAACGGTCCTCAGGGAGAGTAGTTGCAGGCTGTTGTGCTGTGCAGCTCCTTCCAAAGGGCAGCTTATAAACCACATCGCAGCATACAGCTCTCCTTCCTGCAGTCAGATCAACAGGTTTTTCTTCATCTTCTATTATTTTTGTTACCATACTTGAAGCAGATTCATCCATTGTTACAACAGTTCTGTGAGACTTTGTTGTACTGAGATCCACTACTTCTCCATCAGTGATGGCCTGGGCTGTGGTGCTGTCAGTCCATCCATTTGTGACACCAACAGGAGGTGCAGTAGCAGGTTTTGTAATCACCAGTGTGACTGCACGTGCTGAAGGACCTACGGATAAGTTTATCGGTGCTTCCTCCCTAACTGCAGAAAAGGCTTGCCCACTTTGTATTCTGGATGGGGGCTCAGCATGTTTCAATGCAGTGAGCTGGACTGGTGTTGGTGCCACATGTTCTCTACCCTCTAGCCTTTCTGTACCCATGGTGTAACTTGCACTAGCTGTGACCACAGTTACTGTCTCGGTGGTCAGGGATACTGGAGTCACAACTGATGAAGTTACACTGAGATTTATTACAGAGGGTTGGACAGCACTGATTTGTCTCCCATAAATGTCACTTGTTGAGGTCTGTCTTTTTACCTCCATTGCAGAAGCAGAAAGATCCATACATTCTTCAGTTCCTTTAGCTTCTGCCTTTGGTACTGTACGCAAATCAATGGCATCGCCAACAAGCTGCATCTTTCCATTTTCTTTATGCTGATGCTTCTCTAAATGTAGGGTATCTAGAGCAAGCGGTTCTGGAGGAATTGATAAAGAGATGCTGCTGAGACTAGCAGTAGGGATTGCACTTCTGGCTGCTGAAACCTCAGTCTTAGTAACTTCAGTTGTGAGAAACTGTGTAACTGAAGTTGGGGCCACTTGAAATGAAGGTAGTGTTGTGACAGGAATAGCAGAAAATGTCTCCAAAGCTCCTGAGATGTACAGGTTTTTTTCTGAAGAACTTGAAATTTCGGCAGCTGTCATAGGAGGAACTACAGAAAACACTGGTTCAATGGAAATCAGATCTCTGGAGGGTGATCCCAGGGGCCAACTGGTAATTCCTTGACAAGTTGAAGAATCTGTTGGAGTCCCAGGTTCAGATGGCAATGTGATAACCACATAAGTTTCCATGAGGGATTTGGAAAATCTTGGTGAAGACTTGTTAGAGTGAGGGGAAAGTGGGGAGGTAGGGGAAGGCAATTTATAATCTGCTGAAGTCACTAAATTCAATGTCATATCTGAAGTTAAAGATAGACCTGTTGGTTTGGGGTGTGCATCTGTTGGTTTTTGTGTGGTTACTGGAAGCGGAGGAACTGCTGGCTTAGGAGCAATTGGAGGTTTGCTTGGCTCAGGTCTATGTGTAAATACAAGTCCAGATGGAATTGAAGATGGCTTAGGAGGAACAGGAGGAGGTGCAGTGGGACATATTTTTGTTGCTGGTAACCCATTACTCCTTGGAGCAGCTGTGGTTTCTCCTGCAGTGACAGTATCACTTGGAGGTGTAGCTGTCACGGTTAGCTTTTTCCTAGGATGAATAGTTGGTTTAGGTGAGGTTGGTGGAGGAAGAGGTGGGGGAGGAGGAGGCGGGGGAGGAGGAGGTGGGGGTGGAGGTGGAGGGGAGAAGGGGGGAGGAGGAGGTGGGGGAGGCGGGGGAGGGGGAGGAGGGGGAGGAGGTTGGGCTGATGTGTCCAAAGAAGAACTTCGAAACAATGGGCGAGTCTTAGTTGGAAGAGAGGAAACAGAAGGACTGCCAGATGGCAACTGAAAAGGAGGTTTTGCTTGATCAAAGACCTCTTCAGATACAAAGCATGTAGTTGAAACCTGCTCCTTCACAGGAAGGGCTGTTACAGAAGAAGGTGGTCGATCAAACATAGTTTCAGATAGGATAATTTTTGTTAGTTCATCCTCAGACTCTTTCCTTTTATCTATGTAAGCTTCCAAAACTTCCAGAATAATTCCATTTCCAGCCTCCTTCTTGGCTTTCTTCACTAGCTCTTTTTCACACACAGAAAAGTCAGTGGGAATAGTGTCAGCAATTAGCCTCTCTGGTTTAGTTTCTACAGATTCTATGATAGAAGGTTCCATATCAGATACTGAAACTACAATATGATCAGCACTGGTTGGTATGGTAGTCCGATCTAAGGATATACTTATTTCTTCTGGGTAGTCTATAATGCTGCCTGGAAAATATGTTGATGAAGAAATTTCCTCAGAATCTTCAAATTTAGTTACTATGTCCACTGGCTCTGTATAAACTGTGGTTATGCTATCCAGGGTAGTAATGGGTGAGGAGCTATCTGTGGTACCAACTGAAGAAACAGATGATGTGAGAGAGGGTGTGTCAGAGGGTGGGACAGATGTAGCACTTTCTGAAGGCTCAGAGTAGGTCAACATCAGTGATTCATGGGCAATTATCTCTTGTATTTCTCTTGTATAATCAGTTACATATTCATCCTCAATTTCTTCTGTTGAAAAATGTTGGGTTATTTTAACATCTGGGATAGAGAGTGTTGTACTGCTGGTTGAATCTGTAAGAGATGCTCCTGAGAGGACACTCGATGTCAAAGATGCATCAGGTGCCCTGTCAAAGTCCACAGTGGACTCTGTCATATCATCCCTGATGGGGGCCTGGGGTGGACTGGATCCAGGTGTTAGTTGCATCTGTTTCCTTTTCATGAGTTCTTCATATGCAGCATCAGCATCTAACAATTTTTTTTCTTCACTGGTAGAAGTTACCATACTATCCAGGTCTACTATCTCATGGCTTTCTGGAATGATATAAGAGCTCGAAACAATGTCTTCTTGAGGCACAACAGAATGTAAGCTTTCTAACTCATAAAACTCTTTCTGGAGGTCTGTAATTTTCTGCATAGGATCTTCATAAATCTGTTCTGGAAGACTTATTTTTTGCTCTCTCTCTCTCTGCTGCATAAACCCATTTTCTTCTTCTTGCCTCGTAAGCAGACTGCCATCTACTGAACCATTGTAAGTGTCCTCTACTAAAGACTCATAAATATAATCCTCTATTAACATCCCACCATACAAAGGCTCTTTTTCAAACATTTCATCTCGTTCATTTGCAGCTGGAAAAACTTTATATTTGTGGGATTTATGCATCATTTCTTCATACATCTCCTCAGCACTTTTTAATGCCTTTTGGCTACCTTCTTTCTGCATAATAGATTGCTCATCTGTTGGTGAGTATAAAGACACAGTTGTGGGCAATTTATAAACTTTTTGCACTTCTATTATTTTCTCTGGGCTTATTTCAAAACCTTCTGGGTCTGACTCTATGCTAGGTGAATATTCAGAACAAGAAGATCGATGGAGCTCCTCCATTTCTGCAGCCTGACGTAATTCTTCTGTTGGAGATGCATCTTCAATGGGAGACAGGTTACTGGGTGGTGTCTTTGGTCTTTCCCTCCTTCTCTGAGCTCGAAGTTCATCTTTGTCTTTCTTTGATTTCTTACTAGAGCTCTTTCTTTGTTGCTGTTCTAATTCTCGCTGCTTTTCTTGCTCCTTTAATAATTCTTCTTCCTCTCTCAATTCTTCTTCCTCTGAAGAATCTTCAATAGTAGGTAAAAGAGGGCCATGAGGTCTGTGCCGAGCTTTGCGTTGCTGTTTGCTCTCTCCTTTTTTGTGACTTGGGCTGCTGTCACTGTCCTCATCCAGAGAAGACACTGATGTAGGGGATGTGCCAGGAGTGAAGCTGGAAGCATGAAGACTAGAGGATCCCTCTCCCCTTGACCTGTCTTCTGGAGAGTCTGTCAAGCTTTCCATTTCTAATTCTGGCTCTTCATCAAAATACAAAGTTGTTTTTTTCTGTGATGAGTCTGCAGAATATTTATCTGCTATTGTGCTGTTGAGTTCTATCGTTTTGAATCGACGGAGGCCTCCTCCTCCAGCAACTACAAGTTCTTCATTCTCCTGGCTTTTAGTTTCTCTGTATTTAAGTTCAGGACTTTCATCAAAGGTCTCATCATCTTCATCATGCCATGAGTGGCGTCTGCCTGCATCCTCATCAAAGCTTGCACTACTTTTTCGAGTCAGTCGCCTGTGTTTCCCTGCTGTGACTTTCACCTTACCCTTTGCTTCTTCCTTCTTCTGGCTCTCAATACTACTACTAATCTCTTTGAGCTGGTTCCTAATGAAGTCTTCATCTTCAGAACCTGAAGCATCTTCATCAGCACTCATTTCTATGATTTGTTTTCGAATAAAGTCTTCCTCTTCACCTGATCCTTGACTATCCTCCTGTTTGTACTCATCACTGCTTGATGAACCAATACTCGTTCTCCGTTTTCTTTGTATAACAGGTGAGTTTTCGCTTTCACTGCTCTCTTCAACAGAATCATAAGGCTGTCTTCTTGTAGCTACATCATCAACAAACTCAGACCTCTCTTCTTGGTCCCTTTGGGAAGGACTGTCTCGTTGGCTATCTTTTTTAGGAGTGTCTTTTTCTTCCTGACTCTCTTTGAGCTCCTCTTCTGAAGTTGTAGTTTCCAGCGTTTCAGATAGACTCTGAGTTTTCTGTTGGTCCTTGGGCTGCTCAGGAGAAACCTCACGAGGTGGTGTTTTCTTTTCTGACCTTTTGTCGGCAAGTGTACTTGCCTGAGCTTCCAAAATGGATAGAACTGTACTTTCCAACTTAGCCAAATCTGAGGGGCTGGAAGGGCTGCTTTCTTGTGAAAAAGAGTCCTTTTTGAGTCCCTTGAGTAAATCCTTTTCATCACTTGGAATAAGACTTGGAATTTCACCAAGTGAGCTTGATATTCCATCAGAAGAATATCCTGTGTCACTCAGACCTTGTGGGCTTTTCGGCTGCTGAGAACTTGAAGTTTCTGATTTGTCATCTTCCTTTTCCTAGCAGGGAGGAAAAGATACAGGAGAACTTAACATGGTTAAACTTGTAACATGGCCTCTCTATTACTCCCAAATTACTATTGTAAACTGAGGAATAGTTACAGGAATTTTTTTCAACTATATGCCAGTATTATTTTTAATCTTTCAGTGGGAGCAAAAAATGAAAATGGTTGACACAGAGTGAGAAAGGTTAGTTTTCATTTAATCTAAGTTTAATTAAATGCCAATTCTGAATGACAGTTGATTTTATTCCACTAATACTTAGTAATTTCAGATTTCAACATAATTTTCCACCAAAAACATCCTTATCTTGCTCAGTACATTTACTTTGAGAAAAAGTTCTGTTGTCAATGACAAATTTTTAAATTTTCCATTAACATAATACTTTTGGGCTGATTATGATGACAAGCAAAGAAAAGAACCAGAATGGATGGGCTTTGTACCAGACTACAGTTGTATGGGATGTTGGAAAATTTACTTACAGGAAGAAGAGGGTAACATGTCATAATGATATTCATCTCACCTACCACAAAGGATTTTTTTGAGGGAGAGAGAGTCAAACAAGGCACTGCATACTAACGATACTTTGAAAGGTGTAAAAAACTGTATTTACTTGGTATTGTTATTACTCTATATAATTTGAAACTGTAAACTTTGAAAGTTATGCAATAATTCATCTGATTCATGGACTTATCTAGCTATTATTTTTGTAGACTTTTTAATCACATTTATCTTCGGCAGCCTCAAAGATATTTGAAATGTCAAAGAAATTTTAAAAAATATCACTTATAAATGTCTTCTGGTTTTGAAATCACTTGGAATTTTACCTTCATACTATATTAAAGCCAGTTCCCATCAACCAGTACAATAAATAACCTTTGTAAATGGGAACATGGGCTTTATAGGGGACTGGGACACTCAGTAGACAAATCATAGCCTTGACGTATGGTTTTTTTAGGCTGTGATGAGGCCATGCCAGAAATTTGGTTCAAGAATCATTCAGAAAAGCCTTAAGTAAAAATGTTAAAAGTAGAGATTCTTTGCATGAGTTCAAATTAAAAATACTTCTAAGCAAAACAAAACCAATTAGTTTCCATGTTTAAGAAGAGTGTCAAAATAACCCCACAGCCCTATGGAATGAAGGGGTCAGAAGAGCTGCAACAGGACTTGCTCTATTTGACCCTGGCCTACAAGGATGCTTCAGTTCCACTGAGTCCATATTTTGACTGACCATCTCAGCATCTGCAGTGAGTGTGCGGGCATGGGCTACTCCAGCCTAACTACAGCCTGAATAAACAGATGTCATAGATGGCCATCTGTGCAACAAACCTGTGAAGACCCTTCTTCCTTCTTTCCTTTGCTCCAGTCTTTGTTCCTTTTCTCCTTCCGCTGCTCTTTGCACCCCACCATCTCCCACCACCCCTTTCTCCTTTTGGCTACAGAGTTATCAAATATAAAAGTTGTTGCCTTGCAATTCATTTTCACTCACTGTCTTTATTATGTATGGGTAGAGATATCTTTTGAGCACATCACAGTATAAAATGTTTTTGCTGAATTTACAATATAACTCAATTCCAAAAGATAGTCTGATATATTCTTCACAACTTTGGTATGTAAAGCAATGCCTACTTTTTGATTTACCAAAAATTAACTTCTCTGAACCATTTTAGATGTCTTTCCAGAAAGAGTTACTTATCTGCAATTGTAAGACTTTCGTAGGAGGGCTGATGAACCCCCAACAAACTTTGGTTCCTTTCTCTGAAGAGCTACATAATGAAGAGATAAGCATAGGTGAAGCAATAAAATCCTTCTGGAGTAATACTTCCTCACATTCCACACAATGCCAGAGTACCTTTTTTTGAGTCCAACATACTTCCTATGTCTTTCCTGTTCTGCCTTCCCGGCCTTCACTAAATCACAATAAACACCATAACCACAGCGGGGTTAGGGTACCTAAGCTTCTTATGGAAAAAAGGTCAAGAAAATGATATTTCATAATCAAATTCTGATAGTGTCATTTGTATTCTTTATTTTGTGTCTTCATATATTATAAAATATAACAATGTAATAAAACTATACATGTATGGAGGAAATGTAACTATTGTTACACATAACAATTCATTGAGTATAATAAAAAAAGTTACACAACAGAGTCTGAAGGTTCTACTGACATTTCACAAAAAATAAGATACAACCAGATATATATAACATAACAAAGGAAATTAAGATACATTAGACAGAAGACTAACACACATACATATCAAGACATTTACCCTACAGTTCCCCGTGCGTGGCCTTTCCTCATGTGTTCATGCTTTCCTTCTTTCCTCGGTACTATGTTCTACCCACTTCTCCCTCCTGCCACTCCCCTCCTGGTCTCTTTCCTCCACACTCCACCAGGACTCAATCATTATTTACCTGTGATATGCTTTGATGTTCCCCCTATTGATTCTTCCTTTCAAAATCCTATAAATATTTTACTCTACAAGGCTTGTGGGTCAATGATAAAAAAGTGTGCAGTGCTTAAAAAGGGAAATCAAATTAGGTGACCAGGGGCATTTGGCTGAACAGCTAGCTGGTCATGTACTTATTATGCCATGATATACTGAAAAGATTCACAATGTCATTTTTTCTAACATTAACTAGTGTACGTACAAAGTCTTCCTCACAGAGGTGAGTGATCTTTTGCTTCTTCATTACAGTTAGCTTGTTAATCGTCAGACCATATACCAACTAGACCCTTTGCCTCTTAATTTAAGGCACTTAGACATTCATCTTTCCACCTGCTGCTAAATTTTTAAAAAATTTATTCTACATATACATATATCAGCATAATGAGGGATTTATCAGCTCCCCCATTTATCATGCTTGTGGCTCTCTACTCCTTTGGGATGTATCTAGCTGAGGGTGCTTGTACAGTTTGTACCCATGCAAATTAACTGGTGCATATAGAGTTAACACTGCAAATCCTTGCATGATGCATAATGTCTCTTCCCAAGGGGATAATTTGATCAAATCAGAAAGAGTACATGGAACTGAGAAGTGTTTATCTACATTGAATCTAAAAGTACAGTGTGTAAGTTGGATCTGGTTTTCTCTATTTACTTAATTTTCAAATGGATGTTTGAAGTACTCTAACTCTAGAGGAATATGATCAAAGGATTCATGTGAGGGAGCCATAGTTGAGCTTATTTCTTCCCAAGTTTCTCAGTTCCTTGGACTAAAAGACTGGGAGTTTTTTTTCAGTTGCTTAAATGTGGTTATATACTTATTTCTGAGAATATTAAGTTGTTTAGTAACATTAAAATTTAATGAAATGAAATGGTTCTAAGTTAACATTTTTTATCACATACAAACATATATATATAAATATCACTGTATTTCTTATGTATTATTTTCTTCACTTGAAAATCAGGAGCTGTGACTAATTATCCATTTCATTTTTTTACATGTAATAAAATCTAGGATGGCCTCTGAAATTGAACTGAAGAATAAAATTCCAGGTATCTACCTTTTGCATGAGAATTTGTCTGCAATCCTAGATGGAGGAGGTGAGTGGGAAAGGCCATAATTTAAGCATACTTTTTTAAAAAAATAGCATTGTTATTTTTCAGTTCCCCTGAGGAACACGTTTTCCCTGTAGTTTTCTAAGTACACTTAGCATTAGACTCTATTAAACTGACTCTTATTTATAGTATGTATTTTACTTTACCCATGTATAGAATTATGGTTACTTGCACCTTTCTAATCTGTGTACATGAAACAATTACTTAAAATTTCCAGAGGCCAAGATTCATATTTTATTTTTTTACTTACTAACCAAAAGCAGAAAGTGGAAAATTCTTATTCTTTCCAATATTCTGCTGCTATTATTAACCAGGAGACCATCAGAGACAGGCAGTGATGAACTGAGCCATCTCAAACTTGTGATGGTCTGTATTTTGAGTCCTGCAGCAGTGGAGAATGTACCAAGACACATCTGTACTGCCAAACTGGGTTCTGCCCCTTTCAGAGATGTTGGAAACTTTTAGCTTTCCTTGTTGAAGGTAAACATTTTTAATATATTTAAAAAATATTATTGGGTTAAAAAATTGAATTCTTGCTTAAATATAAGATTGTACAAGAGGATACAATATTAACTTTTTGTTTAGTTTTCTCCAAGGCATTGATTTTAATGAGTCAAAATAAAACAATAAGAATGATCTTTAATCATTTATACTTTTAATCATTTAATGTTTGGGTCAAAATGGATTGCTAGTCTGAGTGTTCCAAACACTTTGAACAAGATTAAGTTCATCATATTCACTGAGCCTAGAGAAAAAGAAAACTGGAATAGTTCCACCTATGCTGGAATAATTTTCACTACCAAAAACCTCATTATTTTTCATCCTAGCTGATTATGCTGCCATTATATACCATGTCTGTATATAATATGATCACTAACCCCTGGGTCATTTTAACTAGAGATAAAAGTTTAAAAGGATATTCAAATTTTGGCTTTTATCAGGAGAGTTATAATGTTTGAATGTAACATATATGTAGACAAACAGTATTCTGTGTACTTATACAGGCAAACCGAATTCTGTAGCAACACATTTTAAAATATTAAACTAAAAAGTAAAGAAAATATACCTTTTAAATTATTTATTATATTTCAGGATAAATTTTAACTCCATTCAACCAATACATTTTGAAAGACAGAAATGAATGAAGAGACAAAATGTTGTGGCAACAATAAAGAAATGTAGACAATATACTATAATAATTTGAATGATACAAATGACAAATAAATAAATAAATAAATAACATAAATATATAAACAAAGTAAAAATTACACAAAGCATGATTATAGTGGGAGCTACTAAGAGACACTATGATAATATAGTCTAATTCCAACTACAATTACAATAATGAAAAGGCAGCATGCAAAAACTGTCACAAGAAAGAAGCATCATGTGTAGAGTTTTAAGAGCCCAGCTTTATGATCAGAACTGGGCAAT